ATATAACAGTTCATACTTGTTCATCATCATCATCATCATAAGGTCGTCAATCCTAAGACTGAATGGACACGCACCTCCACACCTTGTGGAAACTAGAACATCCTTAACTATTTGCAAACAGTAATCTAATCTAGGTCTAACTCTACTCCTTTTAACTCTTGTTTCTGCTTTCAATATATCTCGGGCTAGCCTTTTATTCCTGAGAAGGTGTCCTACCAACCTACCTCGCCTATATTTTATCAACTTCCTCTGTTCTCCTATTTTTCTAATACTTCTTCATTATTAATCTTCTCTATCCACAGTATCCTCATCTTTCGCCGATAACACTACATTTCGAACGCTTCTAACCTTTCCTTTTCCACTGTCTTTAATGATGTTGATCGCGTCTTCGATTTATAGATTAGAAAGTAGTGATGACAGTGTCCATCCTTGTCTGACTCCCTTCCTAATACATATTTACTTCTCTACGTTGCTGCCCTAGCTCTATAACTGCCTGTTGTTCTTTATACAAACTAAGAATCACTCTTCTATCTCTGCAACTCATCCCTACATTTTTAAGTATATTTAACATCTTGTCCTATTTAACATTGTCAAAAGCTTCTTCTAAATCTACAAATCCTATGTATGCGCTTTCCTTTCTCTATCGTTTTCTCTATTGTTACCCGTAAAGCTAGGATGGCCTCTTGCGTTCCTCTACTTCTTTTAAAGTCAAATTGATCTTCCCCTAATATTTCTTCCGCCCTTTTTTCCGTACTTCCCTGTACAATTCTAGATAAGATTTTGAACGCATGGGAAGCTAAGCTAATTTTTCTCAATGTCTCGCACCTATCCGCGCCCCTTTTTTTAGGTATGGTAAGTACCACGTTCTGTTTATATTCATACTTGTTATAAAATAAATTTTACATAATTTATAGATTAATGGTTATACCTAAGCTTTTAGTAATAAACGAAATTGATTTAGCTGTTGACTCTTGATGGAACATTTTAATCAAATAAATAATTAATCGAAAAAACACTCGGTGTATTCCATTAATGGCCAAATGCTTGTAAGTAGTGAATTCAATTCATATTTGAAAATACTACAAAACAAAGTGTATCTATCTAGGTAAAAATTTTTAAATTATTTGATGGGTTAAAAGATGCTATAATGATGTTAGTTAAGTAGATGATTAGATTTCTTCTGGAAGATCCAGGCATATATGGAACATTAATATTTTATGTGAGGATTGTAAAGAAAAATTGACGTTTTCAAATGTATTCGGAAAAAGCCATTTTTGAACTCCAACACGGTTTACATCAGTGAGTAAACTATAGTAATAAAAGATATAAAACGCATTCGGGAGAAACCTAGCGGAGCTGTTACTTCTCTTACTTTCCTAGGTCAATTCAAGTTTTACATTTTGACATTTTACAAACTGGCAATTGATCACAATAGGAATCTCTTTAAATGGTGACATTTAGGAATGTATTAGCTAAAGTCTGACTCATGCACTTCAATTAAGTTTATTGCATAAAAGAAAGTAAACAAACAACTAATGCAGCCCAAATGCGCTAAGTTAATTTTGTTGTATATCTCATGTGACAATGCATAATACGCAATAGAACTAAAAATAATTCTTAAAATTGAATAAATCTGTAAAAACAGCTTTAGTATGAGCTAATAGAATCGTAGGAGGTATTAGGTATGTGAAGGATTTGCATGGGATGTCTCAGACAAGATTCACTATAAAAACTTAATGGATCGGAAAGCTGTTTCGACGGCCATTAAAGACCACAAACAGCCACTTTAAATTAAACAAAGCCGACAGTTGATAATTGATCATTTTAAGTGACAGCTGGACCTCATATGGCGCCTACATACACCAAGCAGAACCTACACATGGCGAACAGAATAAAGGGCCGAACCTATTTCTCTTTCTCAAGTGTCTCTGGTTCATCCTGTAAACATGATAAATTAATACTGTTGAGTTTACGGATGCACCCCCTTCCTTGAACTTTCTTGCTACAGTGTAACCGAAAATACATGTTTATTTATATACAAAACAACTATGCATGTGTAATTTATCTTTAATATTTGCTTCCACTAAAGCGTTTACAAACTGTTGAATGCCGAAATGGTTGTTTCTATCAGCATTTTACCGCATTTTTAGTACCTGTTGGTTTCCCCCTTACAGGCATTGCCAGGTCTCAAGAACGAAGATACAAACACAAAACAAACACAATGTTTAGCTACAAAATTTTTATTGTAAAAGTTCATAGTAAGTTTTTCTTCAGGTCGAAGAATAATCATAGTAGTCATTATTCCATCAGATTACTGAGCAGAATGTTTCATTTAAAGATTTTATTTGGAAAACAGGAAAGACATCTCAGAAATATTACTGTTGCCGCTAAATAAAACATCAAGAACATGCTATCACTTCGATTGATTAATATTTAATATAATATTTTCGAAAATAATTTTACATTTCTTGTTTTTATTTGAAACAAAAAAAACATCAGAATTAAAGATGTTGCATCTATCCCAAATGTTAGGAATATTCGGACTATCGGGTCACGAAGGTCAAATCAAGCTTTACCCTACTGCATTCATCAGTTATAGGTTGTTATGTATATGTTTCTGATAAAATCTATACATATTAATATTTTGTATGACTTTGAAATTAGTTCACAACCATTACATAATCCAAACACATTTAATTAGTTAATGGAATCTTGAGGTTTTAGCTTTATATTCCAATTTGCTACTTCTCACCGTAGATAAGAAGGAATTTTAAAAGCAAATACGATTTTTAGGATACAACAACAACAACTTTCTTTCTTATTTTTAAAGTAAAGTTTCAAAATGCAGAAAACGACCGAATAGCATGCAAATTATAAGACGTTTTCTTATTTAATACACAATTTTCGTAATAGTTAAACTTTTCTTTATATCTTTCTAACTTTATTGTCAAAACGTAATAATCGAGCCCTAGAAGCAATTTGTCGTGTAATAAAGCGAATTAGGTTGAAATTGTAAGTTGGAAAATTGCTTTCGAGCAGAGACAAGACCGTTGCCTTTAGTTTATCTGCACGCATCCAGCATCCATCATGAATCCTCCCTTCCCACGAACGACATAAGGCCCCTGCGGGACGCATTGACCTGACAGCCATAATGCGGTAGCGGCTCTTCTTCTTCTATGTGTTCAGTAACACCCCCTAAAGCCGTTTATGTTGCGCTTCTTCCTTTTCTTATACTTCTGCCGTCACGGCCCGCTCGACTCAAGCTGCCGCGATAAAAAGTTTCCAATATCCGCTGATATTATACGGATGTCTTCTATACACACGCTTACCCCCCGAGACCCACCCCTCGCCATCCAAGTTCCTGTTATTCTCCAAATATCGATTCTGTGGTTCGAATCTGCCCTTTAAAGGTTTTTATGTTACCGATATATTACTTTCAACCCTCAACCTTAGGTAGATTACCGAAACAATCGCATCATGATAAACCGAAAAATAAAATCACCCCGCTTTCCTACATACGACTGAATAAATGACGATACCTTACATATCACAGCAATAAACGATAAGGAAGAAAAATTCTGAACGATTCAATTCAATGAACTATTTTAAATGTGCCTAACTAAGGATAACCATAATTTATGTCGGAATTTAGAGGTATTTTAAAATGCCCTATATCACGAAATGCGCGAGGGGCAGACCATATTGCATTTATATTATGCACTTCAAAAACATTTACTCAATTGTGTCATCTTATGCATTTGGCGCAACGAATCTACAGAGTCACCCATTCCCAACTACGACTAGGCGTCCCATAACCATCTCAATTCCGGATTCACCCCGAAGGAGTCATTGATTTGCTGACTTCCTATATTTTCACGTTTTTTTTTTTTTAAACTTGACAGCAATATATCTATAAATAGTGGTAATAAGTGGTATTTTCTATTTTTATCGCAAGAGATAGGTAGATATTTTGTCTGTGACTGTAAACATAGTTGTACCTTCTAGATTCTTCACTGTAAGAACCTACTAGTTACTTTGGGGATATCGAATTTACATTTCGGTCAAATAAACTAATTTCATTATCCATTTCTGGTAACGCAATAATTCGACACAACTTTTTCTTTCTAAAACCATCTCACTTCACTTAGGAGTGATAGATCCTGAGTTCCTATATCTTCACATGCTTGTTTAAAAAGCCTTGTCAGCAATACTAATGGAATTTTCGAATATATATATATATATATATAGAGTCCTAACATATATAAAAATGAATTGCTGTTCGTTAGTCTCGCTAAAACTCGAGAACGGATGGACCAATTTGGCTAATTTTGGTCTTGAATTATTTGTGGAAGTCCAGAGAAGGTTTAAAAGGTGAATAAATATGAAAGTTGTTAACTATTTTTCAGATAAGTTTTATGTAGATTGATAAATCTTAAGTTTTGTTACAAATTAAATTTCTGAACGCAACCATAATATTTGACATTTGACAATCAACTATATGTAGTTTAGATCTTTCATTTATCAATTAAGGCAGTACGAAGTCTGCCGGATCAGTTAGTAAATAAATAAATGAATCAAACTGTGTTGAATGATCAGGCAGGGTTTGTACGTATATATAATAATGATAATGACTTTTTATTACTGGTTTGGTGATGAAAAATATGGTTAAATGCACATTGGTTATTTTTCGCAGAATTTTGTGTATTTCTATTGGAACAAAAACGCATCTTGCAGAACCCTTGTGATCCTTTTACGAAACACTAGGGTCCCACGGCAAATCATTTGAGAACCGCCGATCTAGATCATATTTCATTCAAAAAAATTGTGATCCTCGTCCCTTTCATAAAGTAACCCTTATCTAAAGATACATATGTACGTAATTTAAAGATAGTGTTATAGTTTAATTTAAAATGGCAATAAATAAATTATTTGATAATTAGTAGTTAAATGTGTTATTATCTAGACCAAGTGGGCTAAACTAGTCTTTATGTTGCAGGCGGCATGTTTTCAGCACGAGCCGAAGGTGAGTCCGAATTCGCGAGCGTAAACGAGTATGTACCAGAAATATGCCGCCTGTCGCATACTTTAATAATTATTTAATCTTGAGATTGTATTTATCTAATTTAACAAGATTGAGAGTCACTATAATCTAAAAATGTCTGCTTTAAACGTTGACTATAATAATAACTTGTCAAATTGTGTGCCTGCTTGGATAATATCTAAATAATAACTACGACAATAATCAATTATTAATGATAATGGTTAGGATAAATCAGAGTGTCAGAAACTAATCTACTTAATTATTTTGAACAACGAATGACTAAAAAAAGCTATTTATAGTAATATCGAATGCAAAATTGAAACAGTGAAACGAAACATTACGTCGAAAGTAAAATGCTCTTTGAGTTAAGCATCTTTGCTAATAGGTCCGTAAAAATAAGATATTGGTTGTGTTTGGACGTCAGTGATGGACTTGAAATCACTGCCGATTTGCCCTAGGACATGATGGCTGTCTTTGTTTATAAGTTTCGACATATCCCTACTCTTTTTATATGATGAAAAAAGTTTAAAAGAATAGTTTTTTTCTATATTTCTTTAATTAAAATGGAAAATATGATAAATAATTTTCTTGCTGAAGGAATAGATGATGCTGCAGTCGTTGAAGAATTTATTGCAAATGTACATTAGGCGTATCTAAGACAAACCATTGATTTCCTTTGTAATTATAAATAATAGACTCCATTGTCGAGCATTTATATTATTTATTTATCACGTTAATTATCACAAAACAAAAAATACCTTAACATCAACAATTACTTTAAAAATAACATTTTTTCAAAATGGTGGTTTCAATAATCCATTGCAATTATCGCAAGAGTTAAGTTTAAAGCGTAGATGTTTGTAGAAATTTTAATTGACTAATTTTATAAACGCTCAGTGGGTGCTACAGTCCTACAGTGTACTGCAGTTATTGATACGAGTGTCAATCATCTGCTTGTTTGATACTATCACTTTTTTGAACAATATAAATTGTTGCTTATTACTATAAATGACCACAGTCAATTAGTCAAGAAATAGTACCTATGTTTTCTTAATGCAAAACAAAAACGGTGTAAATGTTATGTGTACATTAAAAATATACGTTGGAGAGCGATACGAGAACTGAACATAGGGATGAAATTATCAAAGAGCGGAATCATTTTTTAAAAAATACTACGTTATATAGGAGAAAATTGTAAAAAATACCTACAGCTACCTTATCATATGAATAGTAAAATAATATAAGTGCAATAAGTGCAATTTAAAACTTTTAAGCGATGTTACGTTTTATTCAAAAGATTTCGAGTGTTCGAATACTTTAGGGCAGTTTTGAGACAAGTAGGAGATATTTTCAGATCGTCGTTGTTGAAAAAATATATTTCACACGTTTACCAAATTATGTATTATGTCGCTGGTGCCACATAAAACGAGAAAATGCCAACAAATACATGTGTAATTTTTATGAAGAGGTATTAGACAGAATAGGAGAACAATGGACTCTACGGAAGAGTCAATAAGAGGTAGAAATAGGTTAATAGGACACCTTTTCAGGCAAGAAGGGCTAGTCAGAGACATATCAGAGGCAGAAACAGGAGTTAAGAGGAGTAGAGGTAGACCTAGATTAGATTACTGAACGCAAATAGTTAAGGATGTGGGATGTTCTAGTTATAGCGAAATGCGAATATTAACTCAGGTTAGGAAAAAGTGGAGGTGTGTGTCTAACCAATCTTAGGACTAACGACCTTATGATAATGTTTGTTTTACTTTATCTGATACGCTGTATATTGTGTTTCAACTTTTTAAATTATTGTGTAGGCACTCTACCCTCTTTTATGGTCCTCATTAGTTTAAGAACTTCTTAACTCCTAATTCCACTTGTTGGATCATCCCGAAAAACAAAATTTATAAAACTGTAATTCCAGAGTTTTTTAACGACCGCCTTGACAGATTCACATCAGCGCACATACAATATAAAAGCCACCCCACCAGCTTGCTCGAATTAACTTTACGACACCAAAGAGTCATCCCCAAACGACATTTTATTTCGTGGGCGTGGAGATGCGTGAAATGCATCCATATAGCGCTATATACTGAAAATTACTCAATTTACGGCAGCGCAGCGTTGTATTATAATAGAGTTGAGAATTGTCGAATATTTATATGTACGGTATATTAAACCACAATTGATTACAATAAAAACTTTTATATTTGCGAACTTGAACAAGTTCATTTTATATTTCTAAACAATCTAAAGTTTGGTAAAACAATATTGTCAGGTGTAATATTAAAACTTTGCTGAAATTTACGAATTATTTCAGACACGTAACCGTTAGGAATCTTATTTATTATTAATGCATTAATTAAAACAATAATTTCTTTTGAATCTTTAGAACACATTCAAATTATATTTCTAGTAATGATTATCGTAACTAATATTATAAATGCAAATGTGAGTTTGTTTGTTCATTTTTTTGCTACAATTTCACGCGTTACCTACTCAACGGATCATCATGAAACTTTATACACATATTGTGGGAGGTACAGAAAAGGACATAAGGTACCCTTTATTCAGAAAAAAAAATGTTGTTCCCGAGGGATAGAAAAATTAAATTTATATAGTTGTCGATGACCTTTGAAATGTATTTAGTGTCAAGTTTTTTCTGTCTAAAACATAATCTTTGTATGAGAATATGTTACTCTTCACTTTGCAAATTTTTATTAAAAAGTTAGATAGAATGTCCCATTTTCTCAATCTCTAAACATATTTTAATAACAGTACGGTTAATCGAATATTGTGCCTTCTGGTATTTTTTATGGTGTAAATAAAAAAGTAGAAAATATTTTCTACGACTGTTTTCGTATTCGGTGGGGTGGGTGAATGGATAGTATTGGTGTTGGTGGTAATAGTGGTTAAGAAAGAGAACGAAGAAAGAACAGAACACTGGAATTGAATTAAAAAGGAAAGATATCGGGCTGGAACGCGAGAATTTTAATCTCTTGATTAACCACGTTTATCAAAATAAAACGATTACTAGGGACGAACGACATCACGAATTAACTTTATCTACGAATTATACCAAAGATAATTCACTTAGAATAAATTTAAGACGTAAAAGAAACCACTGCCGCTGTATTATACCTAGAGAAGACCTGACGTGAAATTATATTAGATAATTGTAATTTATTATAAAGTGTGTGATAAATGCATACAAAAAACTCCACCACCCGCCTAATTTAATTTCTTAATTAATGACAATGATGTAAGTGCGGAAGATTTTTAATTTGTTTAGATACTAATAATTTGTTTTGAAAAAGTTTAACTCACAATAATAATACGGCATGGATTTTCTTATTCAACTTATTGACTGAAAATTAACACTAATAATATCTTTCTAAAACGAGTGAATAGAAAATTTGTTTTGGTCTAAGAGTTTCATTTAAGTACACTGCTCCTTTTAGAATTATTTCCTTAATCGAAATTTTAAGATACGTTTATAATAATACAAGATAATTAAAATTAGACACATTTAAATGGAAGTGTTATTGATATATTCAAATTAAGACCAAAAATTAGAAGAGGTCGCCGATTTTGGATGTCTCTCTGGGAAGTCAGAATGGAAAATGTGATGATGTGGATTTATGAGCGAATGATAAAAATACTGATGAAAATACCGTGAATAGAAAATATTAGGTTAATTTGAAGAAGAGATCACTATGTAAATCAATAAAGATCAATGATAGGAAGACACCTATTAGTCCTAAGACTGGTTGGACACGCACCTCCACTCTTTCCTATCCTGAGCTAATCTTCGCATTTCCCTAAAACTAGAACCATCCTTAACATCCTTAACTATTTGCGAACAGTAATCTAATGTAGGCCTACTCTACCCCTCTTAACTCCTGTTTCTGCCTCTAATATGTCTCCGACTAGACTTTCATGCCTGAGAAGGTGTCCTACTAACCTATCTCGCCTATTTCTTATTGACTTCCATAGAGTCTTCCGTTCTCCTATTCCTTCCAATACCTCTTCATTTCTAACCTTCTCTATCCACGGTATCCTCATCATTCGCTCACTATCCATGTTTCGCACCCGTACAGCGTTGTGCTCCAAACATACACCTTTAAGAGACAAGGCGCTTTTTAAACTGTCTCTATATCTAGAGATGCAAATATTGGCTCAAAATAAGAAATAGTAGATATCTGTTTATAACTTTTTGATAATAGTATTAGAAACCGAATATTATATTTTTTTATTAGTCTCTATTTGTAGCTTATTAAACGTATTCGATAACATCGATCTAAATGTTTTCAGTAAATCAAGAAAAGGGTTTCAATAAAATCCTTTCGTTACATTTTCGCATAATTGGCTTATGAGTAAGGAAAAACTTGACTATTCGCACACTTTTTCCCTGTTTTAAAAAACAAACTTAAGCTCGTTCCCTGAATAAAAATGGAGTGTTTGTGCGAGTGGCGACGACCTCCGGGCCACATCCGTAAAATTTCGCTTCTAATCAGAAGTTCCGTTTGCCAGATCATTTTTGGAATGGGTCCCAAACGAGGGTTTTCTTTTTAAATTTATTTCTCGCCTTTAATTGCAACCGTGTTTTTCATCCCTTAGTCGCGATCGTCTCCCCAATCCCAATTGCTTTTCCTCGACGTTTGTCTCAAAAGGACAAGAATTTTACATTCAAGAAAATTGTACTGCATGGTATTTAGAATAGATTTAAATTGCTAAAGTATAACGAATAAGTCGGTTGTTCTACTTATCAAAAATTATAAAAATATCTTCAATATTTGTTAGATATTAATGTAAAAGTCGTAATTTGTTTGTTTTTCATGTTACAATCCAATAACATTATTCATTATAATTTTTGTGTACTTGTCCATACTGATGGATTATCAACGCAAAGCCGACACTAATGGGTTTATTTAAATACAGCTTATTTTAATTATGACATAGGGGAGCACTAAGAATGGATTTGC